ACCAACAAGCTGGCAGTGGCCCACAGCGAAGGCGAGCCCCCATCCCTCGCAGTCACCACCAAATCATACTCAGATATGCTCTCGCGATCCAAGGCACTATCCAATACCAGCGAGTAGTAATTCTTGAAAGTGGACATCAGCTTGAAGGGGACTTGAGGCGTCAGGGAACAAGTCACCTGTCCATTAGCTCCAGAGTCACGGTCTGACACGCTGATCAGGGCAATGACCGTACCAAATTGAGCGTCCTCCCGGACAGGCAAGGATAAGGACGTCACTGCAATCTGAGGAACATTATCATTTTCATCCAAAACTTTCACTAAAACGGTGCAATGACCCGCCATTGGAGGGTGGCCTTTGTCCATCGCGTCAATGCGGAGTTTGTATAAACTTATTTGTTCAAAATCCAAATTCCCTTGAATTGTTATTTCTCCAGTGTTTGCATCTAGACTAAACTGGTCAGTAACCATGGGTGGAACAAGGCTATTAAAAGAGTAGGAAATTGCCCCGTTCGTTCCTTCATCCCGATCAGAAGCATTCAGTCTCACAACTGTAGTTCCTTTGTCTGAGTTTTCGAATAGTTTCACTTCATATTCAGACCTTTCGAAACTAGGAGCATTATCGTTCACGTCCAGCACAGTGACCAGCAGCTGAACAGAGCCCGTGAGCTCAGGTTTGCCTCCATCGGTGGCTATCAGGAGTAAATTGTGTTCAGGAGCATCCTCTCTGTCCAAGAATTTTCTTAATATTAGCTCAACCTGTTTATTCTCCTCGTTCTTTAAATTCACGCTTAGCATGAAATAATCATTAGAGTTAAGCTTGTAGGTTAAAGCTGAGTTAGCTCCAATATCTGCATCCGACGCGCCCTCTAGTGGGAACCGAGAGTCAAGCGGCCTGGATTCTGAAACAAACAGCTTTTGTTCCGTTACTGGGAATACAGGAGGGTTGTCGTTAATGTCCTTCACTTCCACCTCCACATGGAAAACCTGAAGCGGTCTGTCCACGATCACCTCCAGGTGGATGCTACATTCCGCGCTCCGCCCGCACAGCTCCTCCCGGTCGATCCGAGAATTCACAAACAAAATGCCATTCTGCAGATTTACCTCCAGAAGGTCTGCGCGGTCCTTGGGCACCACCCGAAACAGGCGCGGCACCAACTCTTCCAGTTCCAGCCCCAGGTCCTGGGCGATGCGGCCCACGAAGGTGCCGTGTTTGGCCTCCTCGGGGACCGAGTAGTGAATCTGTCTACTATACGTATCCTTCCAGACCGAGAGAAGCAGAATCAAGAGAAGCAGATGCCCGGATTCCGGGTTTCCTTGCCAGGAAAATACCATGTCAAGTACTCGTTTTGTTCCTATCAGAAAATATTGTCCGGATATAAAGATGAACTATTGTATTATCTGGATGCTTTTAGTCCAGTTTCGCTGCATCTGCGATTGTTTGGCTTTGAAAGACAGATACTGCTACAGGAATGTCTTTGGATCTTGTCTAGACAGAATTTGTCAGACAGCGACATCAAGCGGCTCCAAAGGGTAATGTTTTCATTATTAAATTCACTCCTCAATAATTGTTCTTTTATGCAATAAATATTTTATTTTATCAAATTTAATATAGACCCTTATCCTTATTAATTTTAAGTGTGTTTATGCCATATGGATTTTTACATTAAGTTGGTTTTAGCAGGAATCTTTTTCCTCATAAGGCAATACTTTTTCTCAATATTTTCATTATTGGCATGTATTAGTATTATGTTCAAGCATGATCTTCATAAGTCATAAATAATGTATAGTGACATATGTAAACTATCTTACACACTTTTTGTGGAAGCATTGTGTTTATGTTTATCTGGTCACCAGGATATATTAACCAAGGTGATCATGTAATTTTATTTCATCTTATCAACTGGCAAATTATTGTTAAGTTTCTGTTTTACTTCATTCTATGAATATTAAATTTCCTAATTTTCACTTATTAGTACAAGAAAAATTCAAGTGTACATTCTTTATGATATTCAATATATCTGTAGCTTGCTTAAGTAGACCTTTCACTTAAACCATTTTGCTTCATAGATTTTTTTCTGCCAACATAAATACCCTGTGCGAACACTGGCACATTGAACAGTTGATTTTAACAAGAAAAATAAGGCAATACTTTTTCACCAAGAAGCTGACTGTGGCCCATAGCGAAGGTGAACCCCCATCCACCAAAAAACATTTTCCACCAACAAGAAAAAAAATAATCTGCCAAGGGTTGTAGCACATTTGTAATCACAATGGTTTTGGGAAGCTGAAGCAGGAGGATTGAGAGTTCAAAGCCACCTCAGCAATTTATCTAGGCATCATAGTAAGACCCTGTCCCCAAATTTTTTTAAGGGGCTGGGGATGTGGCTCAGTGATTAAGTGTCCCTGATTCAATCCTTAGTACTCCCCCCGCCCCCAAAAAAATCCATAACATGAACATAAGTAAAAGAGTTTAAATTTCTAAAAAAAAAAAAAAATTGTATCAAAAAAATAATGATGGTTGGTGAATACAGGTTGGGGTGTTGAATAAGATCCTCTATCACCTTCTATTATTTACCAAAATAGGATTATTTAGTTTTTTAAATAAAATACCAGGAAGATTTTTTTTAAGTGTACATATATTCCAGGCATAGTGATACAATTGTACTGTAATCCCTGTGACTCAGGAGAATGGGATAGGAGGATCACAATTTCTAAGCCAGTCAGGGAAACTTAGCTAAACTCTGTTTCAAAATATAAAATAAAAAGGGCTGAGAAGAGAGCTTAGCAGTAGACAATCCCTGGGTTCAATCCTCAGTACCCTATAATAAATAGCTACATAAATACTTTTAAGAATAAAAGAAATTTAGGTTGAGGATGTGGCTCAAGCGGTAACGTGGCTCGCCTGGCATGCACGAGGCGCTGGGTTCGATCCTCAGCACCACATAAAAATAAAGATGTTGTGTCCACCAAAAACTGAAAAATAAAATACTAAAAAAAAATTTCTCTCTCTCTCTCTCTCTCTCTCTCTCTCTCTCTCTCCTCTCTTTAAAAAAAGAATAAAAGAAATAAAAGTAAAACAATAAAACAATTACAATTGTCATTATTAAAAGTCTACAATATTTATAGATGTGATCAAAAATTGATTCTTTCAACAAAGCAGAAAATTTGATCTGCTTATTGTGAATGACAATTTACTGCTTGATGACAAATAATTCTATTGATTTACAGACATTATCTTGAGTTGATATACCTCTACCATTAATTATATTGAAAACAAAAAAATTCCAAGATATTCTAAAACTGAATGTTGGCACTAATAACTAACCAAAATATTATTTGTGAGTTTTCAAATTAATGTGAGCTTGGAAAATTAAGCTATTATTCCACAAATCTCCATAAAAATAATTTAATAAATAAATCATGATATATTCATATAATAAAATGAGATACAGATTTTTAAAATGAATAACCAACCATAAACAATATATTAAAGAAGAAAATTATGAAGGGCAAAAGAGTAAGTGATAGACTGACCTGGGAATATACAAAAAAAAAAATCTGGAACCACTTAAGTAATTCAGAGAGATAAAATGAATGGATTAGTGTTTGAAGTGGCTACTTCCACTACATTTGGAATTCAGTTTCTTAAAGTTTTGATTATGAGCATATATTCCATACAAATAAGGAACAGTATACTATTTAACTGTATTTTAAATGTATCTTAAACTGTATCATTTAATTCATCTTCAACATGGCAAATGCATTTCTACAAAGTAAATTACAAAGAAGCCAGTACTACACAACTGCTTGCAGAAAAAATAAACTGGTGTAATTAGAAGTTAAAATAACCCAACTTTAGACTAAATATAAAAGGCAAAATTAAACAGATGATATAGAAACGTGTTTTATTATGGTAAGTACAACACAAAAAAAATAAATAATATGTCAATATATACCAAAATTCAATACTTATAACATTTATAAACATTGATGGGGCTCACCATAGAGGTGAATGAGCATGCCCCAGGAAAGCCTGGATTCCATTCTCATCATCAAGTCAAAAAAGTTAATTACAAGCTGTGGATATGTAAATGACTTTGGAAATCCACCATTTAAAAGAGGAAGGTGAATCCATAATTTCAATTAGCAAAAAAAAAAAAAAAAAAAAAAAAAAAAAAAAAAAAAAA